CCCTCTCCTGCTCCGGCCACAGCCGGGAAGGTTGATTTGCCCTGTTCTCTTCCAACAGGCTGCTTCCTGGGCGTGGTCGATCGGCACCGTCGAAGGATGTTGTTTAACTTTTTAAAATTAGCCTTGGGCTTCTTTGCAACTCCGCCCCTCCTTAAGGACTAAGACTCCCTGCCTTTCTAACTCAAGCGGGCAATAGAACAGATGTGTCCCGTTACAAGGGGGAAGCTTCCCCGATACCTGTAGGTGTGGTTGTGATGCAGGCCGAATGTGTAAAAGAGGTTTGGATGGTAAACGTAGAGAGCTTTTGGCTTTGGCAATAGAACAGATGTGTCCCGTTACAAGGGGGAAGCTTCCCCGATACCTGTAGGTGTGGTTGTGATGCAGGCCGAATGTGTAAAAGAGGTTTGGATGGTAAACGTAGAGAGCTTTTGGCTTGAGTGCCCGGCCTTTCTGGAGAAGCACAGCGAACGTGCGTCTCTCCCCCGTCCGCGCTTCCACGCCGAGGGGACGCAGCTTTTTTCCGGGCTACAAAAAGCGTGTGCGAAGCAAATGGAATTAGGCAACGCTTGTTGTGGAAATGCAGTGATGGAGCAAGTTGGGAGGGTTGAGGGGAGAGACCGGTAGCTCTGCCCACTGAGAAAGTGGATGTTTACGGTAGGGAAGGGAAGGGAAGGGAAGGGAACTCGCTGCGAGTTGGCTGGCTCCGGGTACCCGACGTTCCTGTGCTTGCAAAATGTTTGATCAGAGAAGTCTGCCCAAATGCGGTTGCTGAATAAACCGGGGCAGATATCGGGGAAACCTTAAGGTTCCTCCAGACATTTTGAAAATCCTGCTTCGTGTTGACAGGATGAACGAGTCCCAGATTAATCCCCTCGGCTCTTCAAGTTCACGTTAACCGAGGGCTGAGTTGCAAGAATTTGGCCAGAACTGGGTTTTCTCAAAAATTGACTTGTTCTAAAAATCAAGTAGCAGGAGAAAAGAGCAAGAGTCCAGTAGCACCTTAATAGGGATGTGTATTCAGCGTAAACTGAGCCCAAAAAAACCCTGAAAAATACCTTGCAGGTAATTTTCAGGTATTGTTTAAACTGAATACAGATTCAGAGAATCTGAGTAGCTACTGATATAGCTACTGATATAGCTGATAAAGGTGAGCAGAACAACCGTGATATATTATGCCACAAAAAATATCCGCAGACTTATAAATTCTTATCCAAAGTTCAGTTTACTGGAGCGAATCAATTCCTTGGGAATCATTCATAATGACGACATCAACACAACGGACTATGCATATCAAGTCTTGTTTCGTTCACAACTTTGTCAGAGTGTGTAACGTTGAAATGTCAATATAGTTAATTCATTTAGCAAGCAGTATGGCAAAATCTCTTAGAACCATTCATCAATTCGCTGGTGTGATGCAGGAGACCTGATGAATGGTTCTAAGAGATTTTGCCATACTGCTTGCTAAATGAATTAACTATATTGACATTTCAACACTACACACGCTGACAAAGTTGTGAACGAAACGAGACTTGATATGCATAGTCTGTTGTGTTGATTCATTGTTTCAAATTTCAATGCTACACACTCTGATAAAGTTGTGAACGAAACAAGACCTGATATGCATAGTCCGTTTTGTTGATGGCGTCATTATGAATGATTCCCGAGGAACTGGTTAGCTCCAGCAAACTAAATTTTGGATAAGAATGTATAAGTCTGCGGATCTTTTGTGGCATAATGTATCACAGTTATTCTGCTCATCTTTACCTCCATCCCGTGATCTTTCCTCTTGGTTTGTACTGATATAGCTGAGCCTGAATAAAAGCCAAATTTTTTCGGCTTGTATTCAGGTATATTCGGCTATACCAAAGAGGAACCGGCCCCAGCCAAGGTGATCCGGAGTTCTCCGCTCCTGCCACCTCAGCTGATCCTCTTAGGTCTGCATGCAGCACCAAGAGACCTCCCCCCTCTGCATGCAGATCCTAGGGTCAACGTCTCCTGTGGCGTGGTTTAAAGCGCACTGCAGAAGCCAAACCTGCCCTAGGGGCAGGCTGGCTTTTTTTTTTTAATTGGCTGCTTTCTTCTCAGGTCTATTGGACCTGAAAAAATTCAGGATTTCTGGAAAATCCCAGGTCTGAACACAATATTGGTATTTGGATCCAGAATTTTTCAGAAAGACCGGAACCAAAAAATGATATGTATATTTTTTGCGCACACCTACACCTTAAAAACTAACAAAATTTGTGGCAGGGGATAAGCTTTTGTGAGCAGGGACTTCTTCAGTGAGCAATGACTCACAAAAGTTCCTCCCCTGCCACCAATTTTACGGTGCTCCTGGACACTTGCTCTTTTCCACTGCAAACAGACAGACTAACACGGTTACCCATCTTAAAAATCAGGTGTTTATCCTTCGTTGTTCAGGAAATATTGTTGCAAAAGGGACAGCTGGTTAAGGTAGGCCTTTCAAGAACAGGACTTTTATGCCCTGTAAGTTGCTCCTTCAATTTCAGTCTTCTCTTTCACCGGCTTCTTCCCCCGTTTCCTTTTTCACTCCAGTCCTTGACCCCAGTTTTTGAGAGGGAGAGGAGCGCGATATTACCGTTAAGTATTTTGCATAATTTATTTCAATCCCTATGCTAGTTGGGGGAAAAGACATGGCAAGCTAGATGGTTGCAGGTGCGTGTGTGTGTGGACTGGTACAAGCTTATTCTCCACCTCTGTTTTATTATCTTGTTTCCTTTTTCTGCTGGTGGGCATCTGAACACCGCTGGAGCACCTGCCGTCTCAAGGCAATACCCTTTTCCCAGCCGTGCTTTTGATGCCTTTGTAGCTTTTGGGGGCTCCCAGGCAGAGGGAACAGTTTGTCCAGAGAACTTGGCTTAGGCGAGCAAAGTGGGCGTGCGAGTTGTGTGCTGTCGGTGGCCGAACAGAGGAGCTAACTGGGCCCCTAACCCCGAAAGAAAAGGAGGGATCTACACCTAGAGGAAAGACACGTGGACATGATACCCTTCTTGGTGTAAAGGACTTGAGTATCTAGGCTTAAACCTAGTGTTCCAAGCTCCGCCTCCTACTTGGGAGAGTTAGGACTGGACCCCAGACTGTGGGCCTCAGACCGGAGGGGAGAGAAAGGGGGGGCAGGGTCTGGTCATGGAGCCTGTCCCTCTTGGGCGTGTGACACATCCAAGAGGCCTTCCTTGAAACCAAAGTTGTAGCACAGAACTGGGCATAGGGAGGGTGACGATATTGGTTCCTCGCGGCCGTTGAAGAAGCCAGGTGGGGCCTGCCTGCTTTCTTACGGAGTCCAGGTTTGCCAGGGTGGGGGACACGTGTGTGCCCGTGTGTGTGTGTGTGTGTGTTTAGAACGCCCCTGTGCTGTTTGCAGGGAATTGAATACAACTTTTCATTAAAACGTTTGCAAAAAAAGAGAAAAGCCTCCGCCGGATTCGTTCGAAAAAGGGGGGGAAAGGTGATTTACAGGAAACCACAGTATGGGAACGACGTCTTGGCATATTCCGCAGTGCCAATGTAATAATACCTCAACTCCTGCCAGAATTTTATCCTCTTCCTTGGAGGTGAAAACTCTTCATTCCGGAGGAGCTGTGGTTCAATGGCAGAGCCTCTGCTTGGCACGCCGAAGGTCCCAGGTTCAACCCTCACCCCCCCTTGCGCATCTCCAGTTAAAAAGATCAGGTGGGAAATGATGTGAAAGACCTCTGTCCGAGACCCTGGAAAGCTGCTGCCTGACTTGAGTAAGCAAGACTGACCTTGGTAGACCAATGGGCTGGTTCTGTGTAAGGCAGCTTCACATATATTCATTATCAGCTTTCACTTTATTACCACGGGACTGCCGGTCTTAGGCAGGCCACAGGGCATTCAACAGTCCAGCAGAAGTACGCTGAACATCCAGAACTCAGCAACCTGAGAATAGCTCTTCCTTTTGAAAGGGGGAAAAAAAGACTGAAGCCTCTGATGCGAAGCTAGTTCCGTAAAAAGCCCAAGCCGTGTTTCGTGCCCATAGGGTAAAGGATTTCCCTTGCTCGAAAGCCAGTCGAATCTGACTCTAGGGATGCGGTGCTCATCTCCGTTTCCAAGCCGAAGAGCCAGCGCTGTCCGAAGACGTTTCTGTGGTCATGTGGCCAGAGTGACTAGATGCCAAGGCGCACGGAACGCTGCTACCTTCCCACCAAAGTGGTACCTATTGATCTACTTGCCATTTCTTGCTTTCGAACTGCTACATTGGCAGGAGCCGGGGTCAGAGACGGGAGCTCACTCCATCACGCGGCACTTGGGTCTCGAACTGCAGATCTACCGACCTTCTGGTCCGCAGCTCAGCATCTTAACCACTTGAGCCACCGCAGCCCTTTTCATGCCCATATCATGCCCTAAAAACAAAATTACACCGAAAACAGACCATCCAATGTTGTATAGCTCTCTGTTAACTACTTTCTAACGTGAATGATACAATGCAAAAACTTTTTTATCACATATCACGCAGCGACATTCAATGTGTTGAGAAATGAACTAATTTATGATTTTATATCTGCTGTACACACACAACACAAATGGACTGTGCACACACTTGTATACCATGAGCCTAGAAGAAGCTGTTTGAATTACCTACTGTGAGACAGGATTCACATAGGAAAACACTTGCCTGCATTTTATGTTAATGTAGCTAGCACACATTCAGCTCAAAGTGCATCATGGGAAGCAGAAGCACATGTTAGCCATTGTTAGCAGAAAACGACAACCCAGAGAAGAAGATCCCCCATTATCGCAAAGACGAGATGCCACGTAGAGCATGGACTCGATCTGCATCTGTATAGCAGTTTCCTGTTGACGGTACCAAACTGGCCTGGGAAAGCCAAGATTCATTTGTACTTCAAAGGAGAAACAGGAAGAGGCGACTTCACACCTAGCCAAATGGTATTCCATGAGATACCGAGTATAGTATTTCAAATATTGGCCCAACCCATAGGAACATCTGCCCCTTTCTACATTCACCAATCAGGTAGTTCATGGGATGGACTTGTGAGTAGGTGGGACTTCAGCATGGCAAGGTGCCACCCACCTGGAGGTTCCACTATAAAAGTAAAGACCCAAACCCTAGGTTTTTGCTAGCCACCCTTTCTCTACGACCTCTGCCTTCTTTACCACCTCTTAAGCCCAGCTTCCTATACCACAACCCTTTGTCTATTTGTAAGATCTCTCGGACTGCAGCCAATGAGGTCCACATCTTATTAGCAGGTGTGAGTTAGCTAAAACCCCTAGGAATTCTTTTACCCCCTATTCTTCCATTGCAACAGACAAGACTTCTGGAAACAGGCGAGTATAAATCGAAATATACCTACCTACCTCCAAGTAACTGGTTATCTATTTTGATTTCTTTCTGTAACTCTAAAGGAACCTTGAGTGTATGTGAAACGAGAGACTGATTATTTTGTATGTGTGAACTCGAAATCCTTCAGTAAAAAGATTGTTTTGTTTTGGAAAAACACCCGTGTGTTCTCCATTACTGGGTCCCTATCGGTAGACACAACCTCGGTATAGTTGGCTAGCACGCACGTTAAAATATAGTTGGCCTCAGCTGTAGATAAAGCTGTTGGCGTAACAAATGTATTTGTATAAATGTATATACAACATTGGATCGTCTGTTTTGAGTGTAATTTTGTTTATAGTGTTTATCTACTCGCAACCAACTTCCCTTTCGTGTCCGTATCGTGCCCTAGGAAGAATAGCCTGTTCCTTAACCCAACCACCCCCCACTTCCTTGCCCCAACTGCAAAACAGTCACTACTTGTGGGTCCTGAAGAAGAAGAGATTGGATTTATACCCGGCCCTTCACTCGGAGTCTCAGATCAGCTTACAAACTCCTTTCTCTTCCCCTCCCCACAACAGACACCCTGTGAGGTAGGTGGGGCTGAGACAGCTCTGACAGAACTATGGCTTGCCCAAGGTCATCCAGCAGCTGCGAGAGGAGTGGGGAATCAACCCCGGTTCTCCCAGATTAGAGTCTACGCACTTCACCACTTCAAACTGGATATGAACCACTGGGCTCAGCTTCGTTTTGGTATCCCTCCTGATGAAACCTGGGAATCCTAACCCAAAACTCCCTCGCCTGCCCCCATTAACCCACTGCACCATATTTTCCAGCAGACCAATCTAACAGAGAGAGAAGAGACGGGACAGGCGTCACATTTGTGTTTATTTCCCCGGAGAAGAAGAACGGCCTGATTAGGAGCTACGTACAGAAGACGGAGTATAGAGCTTGGGCGGTTTGGAAACGAAGGGTCTGCTTCCGGCTTCATACAGCAGGGGGTGCCGCCCACATTTGGGGGGGGGGATTTATTTCAGTTGTGTCGGATCGTCTTTTGTCCCTGCTCGCTGGATTCAGGATGGCACCTGCAGTTAAAAAGGTCGACGTATGTAGAGCCCGAAGTCTGCAGCTTTTTAATTAAAAGGCCTTGTTCCAACCCTCTGCATTGTAACACGGCCACGGCCAAAGTCTTTGATCCAGTTGCAGTCCCACACTAGGTTCCTCCCCCCTCCCACCTGGGGTTAGACGGAGTCTCGGAAAGGAAGCTGCCTGTCCCATCGCTTGCCCCACGTTCACCCCAGGAACAGAAACGAGGAACTCGCCGCAGAGACACGCAGTGGCTGTTGGTAGGCAACCAAGCTTGGTTCAGTGTAACCCCCTCCCCTGCCCACTGCCAGCTTGGCCACTTTCCTGTCAGAAAACTCTCTCCTGCTTGGCTCAACTATGGCTGGCTGGCTAGCTAATGAGGTGGGCCAGCAGCCATCAAACCAGTCTCTTCAACCCCCGCTGTGCAGCTGACTTTCCCCTAGGGTTGCCAATCTCCAGGTGGGACCTGGAGATCTCCCGCTGTTACAATTAATCTCCAGATGACAGAGATCAGTTCCCCTGGAGAAAATGGCTGCTTTGGAGGGTACACCCTATGGCATTATCCCCTGCTGAGTCCTTCCGCCCCCCCAATGCTGCCCTCCACGGGATACACCCCCAAATCTTGAGGTTTTTCCCTACTTAGAGCTGGCAACCCTACTTTCCCCTCAATGCCTGTTGGTAGGCAACCAATCTTGGTCCTGTCACCTATTTTAGCCTTACACCAGAAGAGCCCTGCGGGGCCAGCCCAGGGAGGGTCCCTCCAGTCCAGCCCCCCGCCTCACACAGGGGCCAGCCAGTTCCTCTGGAGGGCCAGCAACAGGGCAGAGAGGCCGAGGCCTTCCCCTGATAAGAGCACCAGAAGAGCCCTGCTGGGCCAGACCAGGGAGGGTCCCTCTAGTCCAGCCTCCCATCTCACACAGGGGCCAGCCAGTCCCTCTGTAGGGCCAACA